AACTTCCCTTCTTCGATAGCCTCTGGGGGGGGGGGGGGGGCGCGCGGGGGGGCGCAACTACAAGTGTATATTACCATCCTATTAGGTGGGAGGAAATCTAGTTTAGCGGTATGGGCAAGTTTGTCCATGGTAATGCTTTTCCAAGACGCGCCTGGGCTGGCAATGGGAGAACTAGAATTGCAGGAGGGAGGGGGATAAAGCGAGAGTCCAGTAGAGCTTTCCCTGTCATATCATTACTGAAGGGACGTATCGAGAACCGAAACAAAACGATCACGCAGAAAACAGAGAAAATAGACGATGCACGAATTTACCCAGGTTCACCCTCGATTAGGGCTACGTCCTGCAAAGAGATTTCACTATGTTTTCGGTTTACAGCCACTCAACTCGTTACAATGATCAGAAAAACGAGCAAAATATATATATGCCCCAAACGGGCCCAAAACTTAAACCTATATGAAATCTCTTAATCTCGCACTATACGGGTCAGCCCAAACCCGTTGAGGTTGTGGGCGCTGCCCCGAGCCCCGTCCGCTCACCGGCGAGCTGGAAATGTCCACGACCCGTCACGCGAAACCCCTGTCGGGGGCGCCCCGAACCCCGCCTCGCTCGACCGGGCAGCGTGGGCACCCGACGGGGGCACGCCCCCGAACCCCGCATTCCGCACGCATGGGTCACATGTCGTCGGACAACACTTCAGTTTTCCTAAGCTCACGTGGATGTACCCGGTGTGAGAAACAAGGGTCCCCGAAGTATTCGCCAACTCCAACAATTACTGCCCTCAACATCAATAGCAGCACATATGATTTCTCCAGGTTCAGCTGGATTGGTAGAGGACGTGTTTGTGGCCGCTGCCTTTTCTAGCTTCAAGTTGAAGAGGCTGTTTTTTATTTCCTCCGAAATGGCTTTGTTCCTCAATTTCTCTAACGACTCCGGTTTTTGGGCAGTAGATTTCCCACTACGTGTCTGAACCATGTTTGATGAAGCGAAATTTACCGGGGCATAGGAACGGCGATGGTTGTGAGTGGAAGAGACAGGGTTGATTCTGTCATGGACCTGGACCATTGGTGACAACTACCGGCGAACTCTTCTACTGAGCAAAAAACTGGACAGAAGGTGGAGGAGCTTTAGTTGGCGTTGCATCAAACACTTGGTGGGCGCTTGTTTAAGCGGCTCTGAAACTGGTTTAGAGCATGGGTTGGGGAGTGGCTACGGCAAAGAGCTGGACGAGGGTGCGATGGAGGCGGCGTTCCATCTCCAACGTCGGCATCACCCTATCGCGCGTCATCTTCCCAGCTCTCCATCTCCAGTCTTTCTGTTTTTCTTATTTTGTATTTTTAAATAACTAGTAAATTATTGCCACAAAGTAAAATCCATGTGACTTCTCGCCATTTGTTGACTTGCGTGTTGCAAGGCCACTCTATCTTCCTGCGTATGAATATGACTATTGAAGTGTTCCCCTTGTCACAGACTTTCCGGTCCTCATGAACTACCCATGTTTTGACTTGTTCACTCTCTTTAAGGTCCTTCCAGTTATCTTTAGTTTTTTACTTAATACTTCATTCTATCACTGGCAATAAAGTTCTCCCTGTATTTATCCAAACCCTAGACAAGACAACATATGCATTCATGGAATAATTGATATAACCATATGGTTTTGTCAATTTCAAAATATCATAGAAGGTTCTCGACATTTACTGGCGATTTAATTTTTCCAACTATTATATGAAATTAGAAACTTTTATATGTGTGACTTGACAACTTTTCTCCGATTAAGTAACTAACGAATTTTGGGTTACCAACTCTAATTTGAGTTGCTTACTAGGGCTTTTTTTTTTCATATGTGTGAACCTTTCTATTGAGCTAATAATTTTTTTGTCATACTTACCAACTGTTTTTATTTACTAGCAATTTTTAGAAATTACGAACTTCAATTATAATGATTACGAACTTTTCTCCGATAAAGTTACCTACTAGTTTTGCATTACTAACTCTTATTTGAATTAGTTACCAATTTTTATTAATTTATTAACATTGTCAGCTTTTTTATCTCTCACAAAAGAAATTATATTAGCTTTCACCAACTTTTATTTACATTTCTTACCGGCGACTTAAATTTATCTATTAGAGATAAGTGCACCAGAAGTCCTACAACTTATCGCAAAAGTGCCTAAAGCTTTCAAAAAGCGTAATCAAGTCCTAGTACTTGTCAATTTGAAACAATCAAGTCTTTTTGTTAACTCCGTAAATTTGGGTAACGGAAAATGCCGATGTGCCATTTTTTATTATTTTCTCTCTCTTACATGGCATTTTCTATTATATCTTCCCCAAATCTCACTTAAATAAATTTACAAAATAAAAATGCAAATTTATAAAAAGAAACCCTAGCTAAAAAAAGAAACGAGCAACAGGCCCTCACCGACCATCAGCGAGGCCCCGCGACCCTCGTCGGCCCTTTCCGATGATGGGCGGTGGCGGCGGTCCACCAGCAAGGGCCCTATGGCTCTTTTTTTCTTGGGATAAGTGCACCAAAAGTCTTAAACTTGTCATGGAAGTGCAATTAAGTTCTAAATAATGCAAAAAGTGTAAATAAGTCCTAAAAGTTGTCAAATTTGGGCAATTGAGTCATTTCATTAACTCCGTCCAACTTGACTGATGGAAAATGCCAACGTGATTTTTTTATTATTTTCTCTATCCTACATGGCAATTAGGGGTGAGCGCTTCCAGATTCCTTACAGGTTCCGGATGGAACCTGTAACTTACCCTCGAGTACAGATTCATCATTTTTTGGAACCTGGAACCTACCCGTCGATACCTGAAACCTGGAACCTAGAACTTACCATGTTACAGGTTCCAATGTAGGTTCCAGGGTCTAATAGGTTCTTTTTTTTAATTTCATTTTTAGTTAAACAAAATGACAATGAATGCAAAAATACTGAACAAGCTTATCATTCACTAAAGAAAATATAAAAGACTAGTTTTCTTGACATTACGGTTCAAATAAACACAATTAAAATGAGAAGTCATTGCGAGAATTGATACTAGGAGTGAGCAGTTCCATGTTCCATACATGTTTCATTTGAAACCTACCCATGATAATAGGTTTCTCATTTTTTGAAACCTGAAACTTACCCTATCACAGGTTTGAGGGTTGGTTCTAAGATCTACCAAGGTTCCACACATATTATTAATTGAACAATTGCAGTAAATCATTAGTTTTAATAACCACCACTTGCTGTTATGATTCACTGACCACAATGTATATTTAAACACACGAAAAATATGAAACATTATGATGCAGAATCTATTAGTGAAGCGTTTCTGGACCGGTTGGACAGGCAGAAGTCCAAACAGAAGGCGAAACGGTGATGTGACTAGAACCGGCGGACCCAATTGACGACATCAGATTGGGCTCAAATTCGGTCAATTTAAGCGAAACGGCGTTCTGAACAAAACTCACCGCCTTTGGCCATGACTAACGATGGATTTTAGCGATTCGGGATCATTTACATGGATTTTTCTATTTTTTAAGGGCAGTTTTGTAATTTTGATGTTTTATGTTTTCTAATCCTAGTACAGTTTGGTTTAGGGATATATAAGCTTGTTTTAGGGTTCTTTTTTAAGAACAGAACATTATCATCAATATTGAATTTCGAGATTTCTTTCTCTAAGCAATGTTTTGCTTGAATTATTCGCTGAACGCTGCGTCACATTAACAAGTCATAAAATGAAAGCTCAGACTAGTAGTTCCAGATTATACACTCATCATCTAATGTCATAAAACACCGCAGGATCACGCGAAGACATAAATCAAGAAAAAACACAAAAAACTTGTTTAGGTTTCAGGTTTCAGGTTTCAGGTTCTACCTACCAGAACCTGGAACATACTCGTCGAAAAGGTTCCCCAATTTTTGGAACCTAGAACCTACCCTGCATACCTTGAAACCTGGAACCTACAGGTTCCCACCAGTCAAGTTCTCAAGTTCCAGGTTTTACCCCGGAACCATGCTCACCCCTAATGGCAATGATGTGGCTAAAACGATGTTGTTTTGATCCAAAATTGATTTTTAACACAAATTTTATTTAAATTAAATTAAAAAAATAAGATTAAAAAAAAGGAAAGAAAAATCAGGCGATGAGGTCTCCCCAACATCGCTGAGAAGGGCCGGTGAGGGTAGGTAATGGCTGGCAGGAATCGCCGAGCCTCAGCCAGCAGCCAACAACCCTTGCCTAGATCTGGCTAAGGGCCGCCACCGGTGGCAGTGACCCTCGTTGGCGAACCTGCTGGCCATCCCCCACCCTCGCCTACCCTTCTCTACGATATTAGGGCAGTGACGACTCGTCGCCTGGTTTCTCACTTCCTTTTTTCTAATTTAGTTTATTTTTTAATTTAATTTTAATAAAAATTTATTAAAAATCATATTTGTACCGTAATATCTTGTTATCTTTGCCATCTTGTAAAGTCTATTACTCTTCGTTATGAAGTACATAGACATTATGCAATGCTCCTACAGGTATTCTTATCATTGTATTAGGGCCGCCTTTTGCCCAATTTTCGCATTTGTGGTCCCTCTTTGTCAAATTTCGCACGTCATTCCTAATCCAATTTGCATGTGACACGGGTGTTAAAGTATCACATATCACTTATTTATGGGGTTTATATGCTCTTTTTACATACATACATATATATATAATTTCGTTTCATATTATAAAAGTTTTTGACAGCATAAGAATGGCATAAATGTCCAAGTTTGACCACTTTTCGGGCCCGTCGTTACCCTGCTCGGCCCGCCACAGTCTTAGCATCACATGTGCACGACGATGCTACAGCCAGAGAATCGTTTTCACAATACCGAGTGCGAAGAAAGCGAGGGCAGGCAAACTTGTTAAGACTAAGACAAATGCACACGCAACGCGAGTTTAGGATCAAAAGTGTGTCCATAACAAAACCCACTAGAAATCAGCTGCAATCCTAACAATCCTAGAAAACGTGGGACTAAGTAACTAAGGACCAGATTCATACATGTCGACATGCCCAAAATGTGTTGAGGGACGCCTTTCGTTTCACCGTCCGAGCTTCTTTAGCAGCATGCTTCTGCGGTTTAACAATCAGCTGGTAATCACTCGGTGCGTCACCAATCTGGAGAGTTTTCTCTCGGACTTTTGAATACATTTAGACTGGATCACATCGAGGAAGAAGAGTACGATAATATGAATAGCACAGAGGATGCAATTTGCTCTTCTAACTTGGCAAATGAAGAGACCTCTTCACACTCTGCTGCAGATGGTAAGAAAGCAGGAGGATGGAGAGCAATTAAGTACATTCTAGGTAATGTGGTCCTCAATTTACACACCTCACTTCAGTTTCTGCTTATAATAGCTACTCCTCTTGACCATTCGAGTGATCATTTCTCTCTGTCTCCTGTCTCTGTCTAGAGATCTATCATTTGATGCTAAATGTTAGAATTTCTTGTTTCGACTTTGAAGGGAATGAATCTTTCGAGAAACTAGCTTCGATGAGCTTAGTGTCCAACATAACGGTGTATCTGCGTACAGAGTACAACATGGGCGGCATTCTTTTGATTAATGTGGTGAACATCTGGTCCGGTTCCTCGAATGTGGCATCCCTCGCTGGCGCTTTCATTTCTGATGCGTACCTGGGCAGGTTCCGAACTCTCCTTTTTGGCTCGTTGGCATCTCTCTTGGTAACCTCCCTATTCGTCATCCTCGATAAATTTTCCAGGTGTCAATCTCGATTTCGATAATCAACAGAAGTTTTCATTTATAGGGCATGGGGACCATGACTCTAACTGCGGGTATACCACAATTACAACCATCCAAGTGCACCGGCGAATCCAATTGCTCACAGCCTCGGAGTTGGCAGCTTGGTTTTCTCTTTGCTGAACTTGCTCTCTTGGCCATTGGAGCAGGCGGCATTAGGCCTTGCAATATCGCGTTTGGGGCCGATCAGTTCGACACTAGAACAGATAAGGGAAGAGCACAATTGGAGAGGTTCTTCAACTGGTGGTACTTCTCCTTCACCATTGCACTCCTCATAGCTCTCACCGCCGTCGTTTATGTTCAGACTAATATTAGTTGGGTTCTGGGGTTCGCCGTTCCGACCGCTTGCCTTGGATTGTCCATATGCATTTTCTTGCTTGGTCGTAAGACTTATATCTGCAAGAAGCCTCAAGGAAGCATTTTCGTGGATATGGCTAAGGTGCTCGCGGAGGCATGTCGAAAGCGTCGCCAAACTGTTGGACCCGATTGGGAGCAACCGTCCTATGATCCTTCACCAGAGGAATCAGAACCAGGGGTGGTCAAGCTAACTCGTACGTATAGATTCCGGTTTCTGGATAAGGCGGCTCTTATCATCGATCCGAATGAGTTGGATGGACAAGGAATGTCGAAGAATGGTTGGAGGCTGTGCAGCGTCCAACAGGTGGAGCAATTCAAATGCTTGATAGGAATCTTGCCAGTTTGGATAACGGGAATCGCCTGTTTCATAGCCATGGACCAGCAGACCACATTTGGGATTCTTCAGGCTATTCAGATGGACAAATCAATCGGACCCCACTTTGAGATCCCGCCAGGTTGGATGACCCTCTTCTCGATGGTGGCACTCTCGATATGGATCTTCATCTACGAGCGCATTTACATCCCCCGGGTGCGGAAAATCATTAAGAAGGACAAAAGATTGACAATGCAGCAGAGGATCAGCACAGGGATAATCATGTCAATTCTGTGCATGTTGGTCGCTGGAATCGTGGAGAGGAAGCGTCGAGAGTCGGCCTTAAGCCAGGGTTCGTACGAATCTCCGGTTACTGTGGCATTACTCTTGCCGCAATTCGTCTTATCGGGAATGGTAGAAGCATTTGCAGCTGTGGCAGTTTTGGAGTTCCTCACCACACAAATGCCAGAGAGCATGAGAACCGTTGCCGGCGCAATCTTCTTTCTCAGCTTGTCTATTACAAGCTACATAGGCTCCTTCCTTGTCAATATGATTCATCTAATCACTCGCAAGAACGGGAAATCGCCGTGGTTGGGAGGTCATGATCTTAACAAGAACAGGCTCGAGAACTACTACTACATCATCGCTGCTGTTGGTACGGCAAACTTTGTGTACTTCAATTTCTTCGCCTGTCATTATGTGAAAAAGGTCAATCTTTGTGGAGATGGGAGAGAGATCCAGTTGGAGAACCCCGCTGCTTGCCATTGAGTGTTGGAAATATGGGATAAATTGATGGGTGAATGAATGAGAAATTGATGCTCAAAGAACACCTTTGAGTTGGAAGTGGGAAGTGGAAAAATACTATTCCCACATCGGAAAAGAAAGAAGGCTATGGAGTGCTTTATATACAGTTACACTTATTTGAAGTGGTAACTATCATAGCACAAACTCTCTGCCTCGCGCGTAGGCACAGGGGTGCAAATCCGACGCCCGACAAGTTAAAACTTGCGCGCGAGCGCACATCCCGCATACACGATTGCAGAACCGAAAAGTGGGCCTCGCGACGAGCCCAATTTTGCCTTCCGTTATTCGTATTGATTTTATAACGGCAGATTTAATCGTCCGTTATTCATATTGATTTTGTAACGACAGATTTAATCGGCCATTATTATTCCCGAAATGCTCTCCCCTGCGTTCTATCTTTATCGAAATCATTCTTCCTCTGTTTTATATTCTCTGCATTTGCACGGTTTTCGATAGTGTTCAGTTCCGCAATTTGTTCAAGTTCGCCGGAAGCTTTGAAGTCCTGATTACTTCTTAGCAGTCAACCGTTGTATCCTGGGAGACAGACGTTCACGAAACCTCGGACGCGTCCTGAAGGGAACGAATCTGTTTTAAGGAAACTGTGTCAAACACAGGCCTCGGTATTCATTTGTCCCCTGCGTTCTATCTTTATCGAAATCATTCTTCCTCTGTTTTATATTCTCTGCATTTGCACGGTTTTCGATAGTGTTCAGTTCCGCAATTTGTTCAAGTTCGCCGGAAGCTTTGAAGTCCTGATTACTTCTTAGCGGTCAACCGTTGTATCCTGGGAGACAGACGTTCACGAAACCTCGGACGCGTCCTAAAGGGAACGAATCTGTTTTAAGGAAACTGTGTCAAACACAGGCCTCGGTATTCATTTGTCCCCTGCGTTCTATCTTTATCGAAATCATTCTTCCTCTGTTTTATATTCTCTGCATTTGCACGGTTTTCGATAGTGTTCAGTTCCGCAATTTGTTCAAGTTCGCCGGAAGCTTTGAAGTCCTGATTACTTCTTAGCAGTCAACCGTTGTATCCTGGGAGACAGACGTTCATGAAACCTCGGACGCGTCCTGAAGGGAACGAATCTGTTTTAAGGAAACTATGTCAAACACAGGCCTCGGTATTCATTTGTATCGATTCCAACTTTGTTATCGCAATTTCGTTTATTTGCGATTCTGTATTGATTGTAATTTTTATATTAATGCTGATTTGAATTTCGCAACATTGAGGAGATATATTTGAATGTAAAATTTGACGACAGATATTGAACATATCGGCGAAATACAGCATAGAAACGTATCTAAAACCACACGACTCGCGCATTTTTGAAGACCTGATCCGAAATTCTACTTGATTTGGGCTCCAAGATCAATAGTAGTATAATTACCTAACTGCTAAAGACGTCCGCGGACAATAATTAGTATGAATTGTTCAGTCTGCCACGTTAACGGTAAATAAGAACATGCCTTTTCCTTAAAGACAGTAGGCAAAATTCACAGACTGGGAATTACATTCTTTCGCCTAGCCTGATTGCCATTTTTCTTTTTGCAGCACCCTAGGTCCTTGCACTTCTCCTAACTTCTATAAAGAACGTCATTACACACAACATAAAGGCTAACGATCAACAGGCGATATTTACTCTTATTTTGATCCGACGCTCAACGAGGGATCGGGGATCCATTTCCCCGGGTCTTCAGAAACACCAACCCGTCCCTTGAATCCCAGTTTTCTCGTCTTTCCAATTGTGGGCATGGCAAAGCGCACAATGAACAATGTGGGCTCTATGATATCGTGCTCTGCAAGCATCACTATAGTGATGGGGCTTTTTCCTTTTCTTTCTTACTCCAATAGCTCTTCATTCTTTTTAGAAAGTCCATGAGATTGTCAACCTCTTTGCTTGGACCACAAAGATCACACAAATCTATGCAGTTCCCTTTTTTTTCCTTATTCAGATGATTATTAAACACTTCCAAGATTCCAGTCCGGGTTCAAGAACAGGTGGAAGAAGAGAGGGAATACAGAAACGTGGTTGGCATTTCTGGGCTGATTCAAATAGTTTTCAAATCCCTCGTACCCAAAAAAGCAAAACAAAAAAATTAAAGGACAGAACATGTATGACAACGAGATATTGAATTTGGAAATTCAAAATTACAAACCATCATGTACTTTAGAACACTTTAACCATTTGTATTATGATCAGAATGCCAGACTTCTTCAAAGCAAATGGGTTGTAGCATTAAGTTCCATTCTCTCCAAGTTAGAATCCTGCTAAAGCTAATCATTCATCTTCTTGGTATATTGCCTTCTAAAAGAACCGTTCGGCGCTCGCTTGAGTAATATAATCTCCTCACTATTTTATTTTTTCGGTAAACCGCAAAACTGTCATGAATAATCAATGATTCTTTAGCAGTGCTCATTGCCATCCGGCAGTGGCATTACAGATTTAGAACCAAAACATAGTGGCTGAAATCGCAACATGCCTAACATATAATCTGTCATATTATTCGAGTAGTGAACTTTAAAGCTGCCATCTCCTGAATCTTTCTGTTCATTCACTTTTCTCCCTAAGGTTTAAGTAAACTGTGCTCCTAATTGGTCTCTAGTTGGCAATCTTTATTAACCCAAAAGGTGAAGTAACAGAAATTGGGTCTCTTTAATCCTGATTATTGAGTGCCACTTGCTTTACATCACTTTGCTCCACTTATGAGTGGGTCTGAATTTTTTGTGCTGGGAAAGTAGTCATCTCTGTCATTAATATGATTATGCCTGACAGAACCAATGGCCACTACTTAGGAGAGAGAGAGAGAGAGAGAGAGAGAGAGAGAGAGAGAGAGAGAGAGAGAGAGATGAGTTATCAGGACTGCTGCAGTTTTCTCTAGTTAAGTGGTTGAGCCGATGAAGTAACGAATCAACAATTCATTGAGTCTATGGTTTGACCGGAGGTTGCAAGTTACATCAGATCTTGAGATGTTCATATTTTATGCAGAGGTCGGCGAGCCACATGTCGGATTGGCCATGTCCTGACAATCTAGGATCAATCAGCAATCTTTTCTTACATAAGATCCCGTTTACTTGCTTCCATTCACTACACGGCATTTAGTGTTGTGTCCGTACACAGTTAACCTCTTTAAGACGTCTCATGCCACCAATAGATTATATACTACACAGACAGCAGACCAACTTGCACTTAGTGGACTTAATTCATCAGTTATGGCCGGTGTGACCCATTAGTGAGACTCACATGCCCTCAGACAGCTTGACGCTCTATTAAAGATTAATTAATCTGAGAAGAGGGATTAACATATGACTAAGCACCCTAACTTAGGGATAGAGTCATATCTACGCGTAAATAAGATCCGGAAAAGCAAAAAAAAGAAACTCCTATTGTCCATTTTGTGCTTATTTTAGCTGCCCCATCCCTCGAAAGTCGCAGCGTAACAGAATCCTGGGTGACATTTGATCCGGGTTGTACGCTGTTGGAGTGGCACTGACTGTACGAAAAGGACTCATACAAGGGAGCCTGTGAGTGGTGGGTATATCTAAGACAATAATATATAGGAGGGAGAGAGCTATTGGCAGGTGGGGTTCAGGAAGGGCATGGAAATTCTGTTCCTGGTTATGACTTGCTTCTACACTGATCTGTTGCCACTATAGACCACTATAAAGCCCAGACAAACAGGCAGATAGACTGTAGGAAAAAGAGGAATGATGGAGCAGAACGATGGAGAGAGAATGGAGAAGAATGAGACAGAAACAATGGACAAGGACGAGAGAGCCAGCGCGACCAGTGAACCAAAGATCAACTACAGAGGATGGAAAGCCATGCCCTTCATTATAGGTGAGACTGAGAGGTTATTGGGTGTTCTCATGCTGCTCTTTTTTTGTCTAAGAACCATTTCTTGAACTTCCCATTTGGATGAAATTTTTCCAGGGAATGAGACTTTTGAGAAGCTTGGAGCCATTGGAACCTTGGCCAACCTGTTGATCTATCTGACCAAGGAATTCAACATGAAGACCATCACGGCCGCAAATATCATCAACATCTTCAATGGCACCGCAAATTTCTCTACCTTGCTGGGAGCCTTCTTCTCCGACACCTACTTCGGTCGCTACAAGACCCTAGCATTCTGCACTATTGCCTCTTACATGGTGCCTACTGCCTTGTACTTCTACATCGTCTATTTCTTGTGAATTCAGTGTATAGATTGAAAACTCTACTGGATAAATAACTGATATGCCACTCAAATCCGGCCATGAAATGACTAAAAGATAGGAGTAGATGAAATGCGATTCGCAAAATGCATTTTACTTAAATTAGGTGACTAGGGGATGAAATTGCAGCCAATTGTCTGCCTATATCATTACCATTTCACTGTGAAGGGACTTCAAGTAATACAACTAACGGCGGCCATCAAGAACCTGCACCCTCCACACTGCGGCAGCCAGAAGTTCTGCACCAGGCCCACTGGAGGGCAAATGGCGTTTCTCATATTGGGGTTCGCACTGCTAATTACAGGAGCCGCAGGTATCAGGCCGTGCAACTTAGCTTTTGGAGCCGACCAATTCGATCCAAAAACCGAATCTGGAAAGAGAGGGATAAACAGCTTCTTTAACTGGTATTTCTTCACCTTCACTTTCGCCCAGATGGTTTCCTTGACGCTCATAGTCTATGTGCAATCGAACGTGAGCTGGGCTATTGGTTTAGCGATTCCCGCGATCTTGATGCTCATATCTTGCGCAATCTTCTTCATGGGTTCTAAGATGTATGTGAAAGTGAAAGCCACGGGAAGTCCACTCACTAGTGTCGTACAGGTCCTAGCAGCTGCTATTAAAAAGAACAGGCTGAAGCAACCCGAGCAGCCATGGCTTTCTCTTTACTCATATACACCAGCGAGGTCTATTAACTCTAAGCTTTCATATACAGATCAATTCAGGTAACCAGCCTACACTACCATTCCGATATAGGACTTTAGCAAGTGAACAAAAGCTCCAATCGGCAACTTCAATAAAACCAACAACCCTCTCTTGAATCCTCTGTTTTCTTGACAGGTTCCTAGATAAAGCAGCAATCAAGACATCCCAAGACCAAATAAATCCAGATGGATCGCCAGCCGATCCGTGGAGACTCTGTAGTATGCAGCAAGTGGAAGAAGTGAAGTGCTTGATGAGGGTGATTCCTATATGGGCTGCCGCGGCAATTTACTTTATCGCGATAGTCCAGCAACATACTTACGCAATTTTTCAGGCCACTCAAGCCGATCGACGCCTTGGAAACAGCAACTTCAAGATCCCAGCAGCTTCCTTTGTCGTGTTTTTAATGCTGAGCCTCTCCATCTTTATACCTATCTATGATCGAATCATCGTCCCGGTTTTGAGGAGGCTCACGGGAAAAGAAGGCGGCATTACAGTCCTTCAAAGAATTGGCATTGGCATCTTCATCTCCATTGTCTCCATGCTGGTATCAGCCTTAGTCGAAGAACGACGGAGGACCATAGCTTTAACTAGGCCAACTTTGGGTATTGAACCAAGAAGAGGAGCTATTTCGTCTATGTCGGCTTTATGGCTGGTTCCTCAGTTTGCACTGGCTGGACTCGCTGAAGCTTTTTCTGCCATTGGACAAGTCGAGTTTTATTACAAGCAATTTCCCGAAAATATGAGAAGTGTCGCTGGGTCTGTATTCTATTGCAGCGTTGCAGGTGCAAACTACTTGAGTAGCCTCCTAATATCAATTGTCCACAGAGCGACTGCTGGAGCAGAAAGCGGGAATTGGCTTCCAGAAGATCTAAACAGAGGGAGATTAGACTACTTCTACTACCTCATTGCTGTCTTGGGTGTTCTAAACTTGGGTTACTTTTTACTATGTGCTCGGTGGTACAAGTATAAAGGAACTCCCGATGCGATCCTCGACTCGGAGTCGGAGAAGAAAACCGAAAAGGCTATTATTATATGATGTATTGATGTAGAGCACGTACGAGATATCTGCCTCTTGTACATATGAATGTAGCTGAATGCGGCAATTAAACATTGCAGACCCACAGCGAGTGAAAGCGCTGAGGACACAGCATCTCTGTTGTCATGAATTCATTATAATATTGTGAGCAGATTACCTAATCAAGGAAAAGCAATGAGAATTCACTTGTTGCATACCGAAGTCCCAACTTTGTGGATGTTAATGGTGACAATTCAGCAAGCATTGTCATCATTTGATTGCAACCATGCTTTTGTAATACATTCACCGAAGATTCAACAAAGATGCAAGACGTCATGTTTTTATAGCCATAAGTTCATAGATAAATAATGGGACAAAATGGAAGCTATAGAACTTGCCCGCATCATATATAAACTAACAGCACATTGGAAAGGGGCTTTTTAGCCCAGTATTTGAGCTAACTAAAGTGATAAATACAACAACAGCTCGTCAGCCCGTTGAGGACGGAAAATAGGAAATGAGTTAATAGGAGCTAGAAGTATAGTCTAAGCCTCATGATAATCTAATTACGTCATCACTCTGAGCTGCATAGAATGTGCAAATCTATGACAGAACAGGATTCTTCCTCAAACAGTGTAGGCTTGCTGTATTGTGTCTATGTCGAGCCCCTTTCGTCGGACAACTGTTTCAAAATGACCTTTCAATGTTTTAAGTTCTCTCAACCTGAAAGAGCAAATGAAAAGGAAATCAACCACCAAAAAGGGAAAAAAGAACAGAGTAGTACGACAGACAAAGGACCATGCAATGTGGTAAATCCAGCTATCAGCAAGCAAAGATGACCGAACATGCTTGTACATTTTAGATGTGTCGGTACAGTACACTACTCGATAGTCAAAACAAGGAGACAAGTTTTTTAAGATCAATTTAATCCAAAAGTCAAAAAGTAGACTATCACTTAAATCCCATTGTTGATTTACTTGTTCAGGGTACTCTGTACATAATTCATAAAATATGGAACAAAAAGCTATCTCTACAAATAAACTAAACTTCTGATCTCCATCTATTGATAAGCCAAGGCGTTTAACATTTATTATCATTTTAGCCATCAGATGACAACCTATTTTCCTAAATTTGACTACCTATGTTCAACATCCACATCATGAATTCTTCATGTATCAAATGGAAGATAGTGCATGGATGACGTACTGGTTTACTATCTCCCAGCAAAATCCTGTAATCCTAAAATTACCACCTACCTAGCAATTTCAGCCCTTCTCATAGCTTCCTCAGCTATTTGATTCAACTCTGTAACATGAGTCCGCTCACTGAACTTCGCATCAGGTGGTTGCAATCCATGCAGCGTTCTTTGTGCATGTGCCCACTGAAGCTCCCGATGTTCCTTACCGAAATCTTTCTGCCTCGTAAAGTTAGCCTGCATTAAAAGCAAATGCATCAGAACACACTCCCTGGTGAACTATACCCAGTAAATGAGGGTTACATTCATGCCTTTCGCTCAAGCACGAGGTCCCAAGCCCTCCCGCTCAGTGCATAGCAAGTGAAGAACTTGATAATATCAAGCGGGATATAGCAAATGATATTGTAAAGCCAGATCACACCAGCCCAGCCCCAACCAATTCCTTCGATAGCAGCAAATCCCCAGTTTGCATAGACAGCAATTACAGTGGCAATCTGTTCAGAATGTACAAAAGATTAATGTCTAATTCATCAATTTTAACAAAATAAAAGAATGAGGAAGCAGGGTGGTCATCAAATTACCAGCTGAGCAATCACAAAGGCCACCACTAGCAGTAATCCAGGACGCTCAACGTAAGACCAACTCCTGGACCGTGTCACAAAGATTAGAGCCTGACTTATAGTGCTGACTTGCAGATATATTGCTGAGGCAAGCTTCCGAATGTCATCATGAGCTGTCTTCTCCAGAGTGGGCACTCCAAATACCCGCTGGAAAATTCCAGGTGGTAGAATCTCCATCAGTGCTACTCATTCGAAGTTCGCAGAAATACAATAAAGAGAAGTAAAACGAAAATGACAAGTTGCATTCTTACATCAGAAAACAGATTAAGCGAATTATTCTCTTAAGACCATCATGAGAAAATAAAAAAAAGCGGCGGGGATTTAGTGGATCCATTCCTTTTAGATGCTAATAACAACATAAGCAACAAGAATGAAACACGGATCTGCTCTAGTGAGAACCAGATGAACTGTCCATTATCTCTGAAATGACAGTAAAACCTACATGAAGGAGTATATCAATCTGAGCAACACCAATAATCTGAACTATATGCAACAATCCACATACCGGGAAGAAGTTCGTTTTGTATGCTGCCCAAAAGAATATGACTGTCATCATTGCCAAGTAACTGCCGAGGACAATGCCAGTAGTAAAAATCTCTGACAGTTTCCAACTATCTGGAAGAGGAGACGGTTTTACTCTATCCTTTGATATAGTCATGATAGTCCCTGAAATTTCAGCAAGTAGTCAGTAGAAACCCAGAACAGTAAATCGTAAAGTATACAAGATATTGTTACTGCGACCCAATCAGAATTACGTAGGCAATTAGCTGCTGGAAGGAGCGACTAACCATCATTGAGGATTGCTATGATCAGGACCATAAAAGGTGGAAAGTCAAACCTCCATATGAGGGCCAGCAGCATGAAACCAAGCTGCGACATAATACATTATGTTGGAAAAAACATGAGGAGATTCTGAGTCACTCGTTTTTGGGTGCAGATTAAACAGATTATTCTACTAGAAATCAGGAAAATGCTGACAGCATGATCTGTAAAACAAAAAAGGTCCTCAACTCACCACAATTCGGATTGTAATGGAAACAGCGTAGATCTGCCAAAGGAAACAAATACATAGAAAAAATCGGTTAAATTGGAAATCCATTAGTGAAGAAAATAATGAACATATTCCAATCAAGATAATATGCCAAATGATCTCATCAAGCTCTGTGGACAAGAAAGTGATAGAGGACTAAAAAGAGGCCCAACACATACAGTGTAATTTTTCATCCTCTGGAATATTGCACGGCTGGTCAGAACAGCGCTAATAATCACGCTAAGGCCAGGTTCTGTGAGGACAATGTCGGAAGCGCTACGAGCAGCATCAGTTGCATCAGCAACAGCTATCCCAATGTCAGCTTTCTTGAGAGCAGGAGCATCATTCACTCCATCTCCAGTCATTCCACAGATGTGCTTCCTCGCTTGCAGTCGTTTCACAATTTCATATTTGTGCTCTAGACCCAAAACATTATAATGAAAATTAACAACAACGATCAAGTTTTAGTTACCAAAGACTAGCAGCCTCACCACACGATCAGAGAGTATGGACATGAATCAAGGGAACACAGAAAAGGATTGAAGAAACGTGAAGAGTACTAAATCGGCGCATGCTTGTGGGTAGGTTTTTGCATCCATAAGCAGATGAGTGCCATACCAGGGAAAACACCAGCAAAGCCATCAGCCTTTTCTATCAGCTCATCAATTGGTAATGCATCAATGGTTTCATTTTTGTTTTGCCCCAGCAAAGCAGATGAAGGATACATGTTGGTTCCCATTCCCAAGCGACGACCAGTTTCTTTTCCAATGGCCAGTTGATCACCTAATAAAGGTCACAGTGCTCAGTCAGTGCTCAACACAATCAGAAAACCATAGAACAATACCTAGTTTTTTCCATGATAATGAGATCTTTATAGATGAGCAAGAATTTCATTCCACTAAGAACTTTGCATGAGAAAAGAAACGTGATATTACGTCATCCGAAGACTAACCAAGTCAAGAAACGCAAACAGAATGTGCGCCCAAATTGGATGATACACAATGTTAAGCATCTTATTATGTCGATTTTTTTCTCCGAAGCATTTGGTCAGAAGTTCTCCCCATTGTCCTCTAGAACAGACATAAAAGGAGGAAAATAACCAAAGAAAGCTTTTGAACATAAATGCTGATATAACTAAATAAGAGAAAAAGGACATAATCAATATTGGATATTAGGACTTTGAATTTGAGGAAGTAAAACTGAATTACATGCAAATGCTTCAGTATGACAAAACTGGCAAAACTTTTGCCACACTGCAAAGGTACCTATCCATACTTAACAAGATTCAATGGAGCACCAAAGTAATCACTTTTAAGCGCATGTCACCAAAAAAGAGCCAAATCTTAGCTTCACATATAGTGAGCACTCTGTGCTTCAGACTTTTCATTCTTTAAATGAAAAGGTAAATGATAGATACGAATGTAAAAGTCCAATTCATGATGACTGCTACACTGATTAATGCATGAAGATGGGCAACACAACTGAGCAAATATTTGTGAGCTTCTGGATCACCAACGCTAGACCAATTCCATCTACGCCAATCATATTTGGAGATGAAGATAAATTAGAGACCAACCAGTGATCATCTTAACATTCACTCCAAGATTCAGAGCCCTTCTTATCGTCTCTGCACTGTCATGCCTGGGTGGGTCAAAAAGAGGCATGACACCGATGAACTGCCATGGTCCTCCAGCACTCTCTTTCTGTCCTTCAGGAACTTCCTGGATGTACAAACCGCATCATGAAGCTAATTCCGAACAGAAAAGCCAAAAAAAGGTATGCAAGATCTAGGTAAACAGGATTCAAAGGACGTGTTCAATCACCTGATATGCGACAGCAAGAGAACGTAAACCACGCTCTGCAAACTTATCAATCACACCATGAACTTTTCGCTCAATTTCTGACTTATTGTGTGCAAGGTTTAGGATCTGAGGACCACAGACAAGGAGGAAGCACTGTTAAATTAATCCAAACATGAGAAAACTGAAGCACTGCTAAGGAGGCATAAAATTTCAATTTTACCTGCTCTGGGGCACCTTTGCTCACTCTGTGCATTTTACCTTCATGATCAATGTAAGTCAAAGCAGTTCGCTTGTCAGTAGGATTGAAAGGAAGAAAATGTACTTCCCGAATGCCAGCCCGAGCCTTTGCATCACCAAGAAAGATGGAAAGAGCAGGTAAGTCGAAAATCGAGGATAAAAAAAATTAGACTGGTGACGACAACAAAAAAAATTCCGTATCTAACTACAGACTATATAGTCACCTCCTTGGGATCTGCAAGCATCCCCACTATTGCAGCATCTATTGCGTCTTGGTTCTCCAATCTAGAAGCTCGTGCTGCCATCAAAACAACAGTTTCTTTATCCACTCCTTTTGCAAACACCTGCAAGTCATGTTCAAAAAATTAGAAAAAAGGAGTTCATGGGACAACACCAATGAAAAGAGGATCCTAAAACTGATGACCAAAGAACATGCAAAAAAAAAACAAAGACAAAAGCAAAAAATACATACAATACATGCATATATATGACCGACCTCAATAAGATTCTGATCAACTGTAAGTTTGTTCAGCGTGAGTGTCCCAGTCTTGTCACTGCAAAGCACATCCATTCCAGCCATCTCTTCAATGGCAGTCATCCTCTTCGTGATGGCTCCCTAGAATCAACATCAGCAGATCAGCAATCACGCTCCCTATAACACTGTCAAGAGAAACAACTCACCTGTTGAGATAATCTGTGCGAACCGATAGCCATCGTCACCGACAACACGGTAGGCATTGCGATTGGAATTCCTCCTATTAGTAGCACAAGGAGATTGTCAATTCCAGAACGGTACTCCCTGTCTTGAATTGGGTACATGACAATTATCTCGACTATCATCCCCAACGCAATGGAGCATATACAAAAGTTCCCAATAGCAGTCAAAACCTGAAACGCAATGATAATACAAATCATTGACAACCTAAACACATCAAGTAGCAAGCCATGCCTAAAGAATGTTTAGAATTTTCGCCTTGCCTTCTGGAAGTGTCCCACTTGGTTAGTTGTATCAACTAGGTGGGCAGCCTTTCCGAAGAAGGTGTGGACACCAGTTGCAATAACCACGGCTTCAATTTCTCCTTGTTTGCACGTGGATCCCGAATAAACACCATCTCCAGGGCCTTTCGTCACAGGAAGAGACTCGCCCGTCAATGCAGACTGCAGGGTAGTAAATCTCAGTAATTGGTTAACTCATCAACTGAAAAAGTCACCTGATCAATCTTCAGAGGTTGATGTGTCACGGTTCCAAGGTTCCCCACGAACCAAGGACCATGCACAATCCAAGAAGACCGAGCAAGTTTCCTAGGATTTCCAAAGTTCTCCATAATATTCTTAGAGACAGGCGATATGATAAATGTACCGGATTCTAGAGCATCTGGTAGTTGGTCGGTAGTTGGTAGATGAGAAGATGCCATATATAGCATTAGAAAGGAAATCTACGGATGTAATGGGAGGACCTCTTGTATAGGAGTGCTCTCTCTCATTTGGAAACTAAACTCTCTCTCTCTTGGCAGTCACCGGCAAAAGGAAGAAGAAAGAAAAAAGAAAAAAATCAAAAATAAAGATTAAAAAATTAAAAATATATTATTAAAAATTGTCGCGGTGCCACATAGGCCGGCCAACATTCACCTCAGCAATATTCGGCCAAAATTAACTGAAAGGACTGAATTGGCACTGTGTCAAAAAGTTTGAGATTGAATTGGCACCGTATTTAGGACTTTTCGAACACTTTTCCCTTGTTTGAAACCCAATGGCAACGAAAAAGTCACCTGATCAATCTTCAGAGGATCTCCTTCAAGAAGGCGAGCATCAGCCGGAATGATGTCTCCAAGTTTGATACTGATAATATCACCAGGAACCAGGATTGAAGCATCCTGCTCACCCCATCTTCCCTCTCTAAGTACCTGCATCATACATGCGAATCAGAGCCACCATTCCACAGCATCAAAATGTCAAAGAACATCCAAAGATCACTTGATTGCAACTAACAGAACATGTTGCCGCAGTCCCATACCTTAGCTTTGGGAGCAAGACGAGCCATAAGTGCAGCCGCAGCGTTACCGGCATTGTTCTCCTCAATAAAGCTAATCGTGGAGTTTATAAACAGAAGAGTGATGATGCCTATGAAATCTTGCCAATCTGGAGGCTTGCCCTGCAAAGGAAGAATCAGAAACAAATGGATACCATCTTTCACAAAAACTAAAATTTTACCCTTAAAAAAAGAGAGAGAAAGGACAGTAGAGGAAAAATCACCAACCCCTCCATTTGTAAGTGCAATGGCCATGATAGCAGCAACCTCCATGACCCAGGACAGGGGATTCCACATGAAACCCAGAAATTTCAAGAACTTGCTCTCCTGAAACAAATCAACAAGTGCAAATCTTTATCACCAACAGACCCACAAACACACACATTGATCAAATCAAAAGATAGTGGATCTCAGTGCCTTTTTCTCTTCAAGCTTGTTGTGGCCAAAAAGGTCCAGCCTCTGCTCAGCAGCCGCCGAGGTAAGCCCTTCTCTGTTACATCTCAGGGACTGAAACACCTCCTCAATGGGTATGTTCTCCTGCACCCACCAACCGAGAATTCACATCAAGTTCCAAACATATCACTAGCACCATAAAAGGCTCACATCTCTCTGGCTTAGATTTGTTACCAAATCGACGGCCTCCTTCAACACTGCCTCCAAAACTGGAGCCTTCTCTTCCATCTCTTCCCCTCTCCCCCTCTCTCTCTCCCTCTATCTCTCACGACCCAGAGAAACCCCCTGCGGAAATCTTCCAAAGAACGTCAAGTACAGAGGAAGATGAAGAAGAAAAGGAGTCACGGGAGTGCTAATATAGAGGCACGAAGGACGGACGGAATGGAGAAATCTTTGCTCCGAAATACTTCTCTGTCGTTTTCTGTCGCTTTCAACGACGAGTCCCACACTTCAAGAAAGACAGTAATGCTTTCACGTCAGTAAAAGATGAAGAGATTCTCCGCAAATTGCTTCCGTGTGGGTTCGTACGGTGCGCTGAAAGTGCATGGTCGGGTACCTTGGTGTTGCTTTGTGGGGGAAAAAAATAGAAAACCAAAGTAAAAAAAAAAATGAAGGAAACATTTGATTATATATTGAATCTATATCAGTCGCAATTATAAACTTATTGATTATCCTAGCATGGACTCATTCTTGCATATTTGGTATGCTTTTAATTAAGTCTTGTTTAGTTTCTGTAAACTTTAAAGCTGGAATAATTCGGTTTTTATTCGAGCGGATGCCTAAAAACCTGGCTAAAAACCTGGCGAAGTATATGAATTTGTAGATTTCCACAAAATTTTATTATAGTTTTGAAAAGCCAAAGTGTTTTTTTTTTATTTTTAAATTATCCTTTTGGTCGAAAGAAAATTGTAACTCTATCGTGGCCAAAGGTCGAAGAAGGCATGGAGAGAGAAGCGAGACAGAATTTTAAAATGAAAAAAAAAATTGTTTTTCTTAAGCAAATCCAAACAAGAGCAGACTTGTGATATTTTTTTTTATGTTCATTGTGGATTTTATGCAGCAGAAAAAATATTTAATGCACTTTTAAAGTTTGAATAGTTCAATTCCTATAATCATTTGAGTTTAATTCCTATAATAACTAAGATCCTTCCAAATTTATTTTGGGGGAAAATAAAAAATGCTCTCTAAATTTTGTTCAGTGTATGTCCATACATTGTCTACTTCTAAATCTCTCATTTGCGCATTAAGTCTATTGCTTCAAATTGGCCTAATTTATCAATTTTCTTTCTAATTAGTAATTACTCGTTTCACTTTCCCCAGCTTATTTAGGTTTTATTTACACGATAAAGGGTAATTTGTAGGGCTGTGCAACAGGTTCAGTTCCAAGGTAAATAGGTCTAGTTCTTGATTTCAAATTTTTGGAACCGATACTGTGCGGGTAGGTTACGAGTTTTAAGTATTGAACCTACCCACTCACTCAGGAACTGGTTAGAACCTGTTTTCTGAAGTTGGAAGAAGATAATTTATTATTCTTAAATGAGCTTAACTTCTCTATTGTTTTATATTTCTGTCTGTTTTGTATTAATGTTTTGCTTTGAGACATTTTGTTGCTCTTACTATTTTGCTATAATTGCTATTTATCTTGATTTTTTTTAAAATGAAGCAAAAAAAAAGAGGAGCCAATTCCCGGGTTAACCTTAAAACCAAACCAGACATATAGGGTAGGTTCCAAGGTCAATTCCGAGATAAACAAGGTAGGTTCCAATCTCCAAAAAATGATAACTAATTCTAGCATGATAGGTTCTAAGTTTCAAATCTGGAACATACTTACCTTGGAACCGATTACCAATTCGGTATGTAAATGATTAATGTGATGAGGAATTTGAATTTTTTTCTTTGTTTCATTTTAGATCTTTCATTTCGTTTTTCTGCCAATAAAGGTCTTTCATTTATGTTTTCGTGTACGCTATTTGCGTTTTACTAACAAAATGTATGATATATTGGTCATATTTGAGAATGATTCAACGAATTTGGTTTTTTTATGAGTGGGGAAAAAAACTGAAAATCATCAATTACATAGGTTCACGTACGATAGATACACGTAAAATTAAATGCGAAAAATAAGAAGTTTAGACGGCTTCACCTTTTACGAAATTACCTTCAATTTTCGTTTCTCCTCCCTCTTATTCTCAACCAAAAAATTTAAAGATTTTCATTAGTTTTCATCCGAATTTTCTTTTCTTTCATTTTTTTTATTTTTTTTTCTCTCTCTTTTTTTTCTGGTAAAAAGTTTAAAAAAATTTCTCACTTCACGAGCATAGTAATGTTGCCAAAATTCTTGGTTCACGTGCCACTGACCACAAAATAGCATTTGTCAAGATGTCAACGTCAACAACTGCATCGTCAATTTCGTCTTAACGCCAAGTGTCCATGCCAAGACCAGACCAAGTACACCGTACTAGTCCAAAGTACACCGTACATGCATAGTTAAAATATTTAATCAAGAGAAAATAACATTACGATCCCTGAATTTTCGCATATTGTGCAATAATATTTATGGCGTTTTAGTTTGTTTAATGTGATCCCCGAACTGTTGACAAATATCAAATCTAATCTTTCGACTATATGAAAATGTTCAGTGCTATCTTTTTTTTAATAATCGGCTACCGTGAATTTCAATATGTTAAGTTTGAACAATTGATCAAAAAAGAAGTTACACGTTCATGTCAAATCATGATATAATAATTCATGTTATTTAAAATTTTTAAAGACATGTTAATGACATAATATTATTTTTCCTTTTTTAAAGTAGACGGATAAAAGGATGAACGTGTTGATTCATCATTTTTTTAACATCCAATTCGGCATATTATGATTCACGTCATCAAATGAAGTTTGATTTGTTGTTTGAGCAAAATGAACGACTACATTGTATAGGGATTACGTTGAACAAATTAAAAATTCATAGATAACATTGCATATCGGACTAACATTTAGAGATCATTTTTGTCATTTTCTCCAAAATTAGCCTACATTTCATAACTGTTTTTTCTTCGTTCACGTGACTATGTTTTACACACCACACAAAGGTAAGTGGATTTCAATTCGTATCTCAATCGTCCTTTTCCATTTCTTGTACCAAACTATACGTCCTTTATTTAACAAGAAAAGTCGTGGAAATTCGGGACGTTTATTATCATCGTGACTATCGTAGTGTACGCCGTTGATGCTTAGAGAAAATTATCAAAAAAGTTCTAAATTTATTGTTCGGCGATCAATTCAGTCTTAAAATTTCTAATTCAATCAATTTAGTCCTAAACATTTTGACGATTCACCATTATTGTCCTTTCAACTAATTTTAGCTGGAAATCGCTTTCGTGGTGATCCAGTCAACGCCGGCCGCCACTTACGTGAATGATTTTTGCAAATCTTTTTCTTTTTTTCTTTTTTCCTTTTTTATTTTTTCCTTATTTCCCTCCACCGGCCATCGCGTGCACTTACCCAGTCTTACGAAGACCTAAACCTAAGTAAAATCGTGTTTAGTAACCGTACATTTCACGGTCATTGACACAATCCTTGTACATTTCGTGCGCGCTTAAGAGAGAAACACGTGCTTCGCGAGCATCATCTCGACGAATCCAATCCTCCGTGAATCGCGAGGCGTTCTTACCTCGAGATACGCGACGGGAAAACTCCGTCGTTTTGACGGGGCGGCGGTTTTCTTTATGTCCGACGTTACCGAAACGGGCGGTGAAATTCACCGGCGGAAGATTCCTCCTATTTTCTAGAAACTTAAGAGTACGACGACGGAGTCACTACGGAGTCCAAAAGGAAGAGGCCAAGGTATTGATCGTCACCCGAATCGATCCGACGGCCGAGGGCGGCCAAGATAAGGGGCCGGCTTTGTTTTGAACGGCTAAGATGGCCAACTTGGCGTTCTTTATTCAAAGCGACAAGACGCGAGACAAAGCGATTTTTAAAACGTGTGGAAAAATCGAGCAATAGATTTCCACACCTACTACTCCGTTTAATTTCTCGTTTGGAGTGACATCCAAGAAAATTGCCCTGTCAACACAACCCAAGAATTCAATTTTAAAAGAAGATCAAATCACGAGGTAAATACGCGAATTACGATAGCATCTCGAAGTACGGTACGGCGGTACTTCTGCTGTCCCTCTTTCCTCGGCGGAGCTGATTATAAAATACAATATCGGACACATCGGGGTGCGCACGTCCCAACACTTTCGAGCCGCTGGATACGGTGAGTCTTGCAGTATTTGAACACGAGGCCTGTTAAGTTTAGCGATCCGCGCATTCGCGAGCTGTGCGCGATAGTTTCTCGACCGCAAGCGAGATTGGACCGTACATATCCATTTTGAAGTTGCACGACAGTGATATTCAAAGAAGAATCAAACAAATGGGAAATTGAGAATCTTTAAAATCCCGAAGACGAAATTACCGAAAGCAACTCACCTGCGTGCATGGCCGAGTTAGTGGGTGCTTTCCTTCCCTTAGAGAGGTTCTGGGTTCGAATCCCCGCTTGGTTCCGTAATTTAAGTGGGGGGCCCTGGCGGTGGGTTGCTGGGCTAGTCTCCCCTGAGGTATAGGCGCCCCGATTACCTGTGCGGGCTCGTCGCCAGGGAATGGTGGCGGATCCTCTGTTACAAAAAAAAAAAATTACTGAAAGCAATTGCAACCGTCCATTCAAAATAGAAAGGGGAAAATGACGCAAATAATTTCTGAACTTTAATTTATTCAGTGTGATCTTTGAATTTGGGTTCAATGTGCAATGTCGTTCCCGCACTTTTAGGGTGCGCATGAATACCATTCTGTGCCCGGGAACTATTTCTGAACAGAAATGATTTTTTTTTATTCTGTGCCCGGAAATAATTTCTGAGTATTTGAAGGCGTTTGATAAACTGTCCAAAATTTCTATTCCTAGAGTAGAAAAGAACAGAAATGCGTTTGGTAACTACACAAAATTTCTGTTCCCAAATAATATTTTAATAATATTTTGAATTGTTTAATTTGTTTTTTCTTTCTACCATTTTCTTCTTTGGCCATGGCCGGCGAGGGCGTCATGGCCCTTGCCGGCCGCCGGGGGAGGCGGAGGGTCGCCCTCGCCGGCGAGGCCGCCCTCGCCGGCGAGGGCGAGGGCTGGACCCTCGCCGCACAGGCGAGGCGGCCTCGCCGTCTAGCAGACGGCGAGGCTCGGCCGAGCCTCGCCGTCTGCAGGCGAGCCGACCTCGCCGTCGCGACCGACGACGAGGCTCGGCCTCGCCCGTTGGGCGAGGGTGCCTCGCCCTCGCCGACGAGGGCGACCCTCACCTC